GGTTAGCGCCATTGCCTGGAATTCATAAGATCTCCACCACAGATTTCATAGGCGACCATGGGCAAGTCACTTAGGCCCAGATTGGTATTTAGGGGTGTAACTTCCACTGATTTCAGTGGAATCTGGACCCCAACCTCTTTGTTCCCCATCTGTACAATGGGGAGAAGAGCACTTCCCTACCTCAGCAGGGTGTGTGAGGAGAAACACGGTACAGAATGGGAGGTGCTTGCTCAGACAGTAACGGGGCCATCTGAGTACCTAAGATAGATACAGCTCTGAAGTTTTTGGCTGGGAATTTTCCCCACATGTGGTCTGGGGAGAAAAGTTACTCAACAGCCTGATGTGAAAGGAAGGAAAGGCCCACTTGTTTCTTCAGCTGTCTCCCATTAGCTGGCACTGCAAACAGGGTTACACCAGAGCACCTGGTAAGTTTCTGTCTGTTTTCTCTGGGGCAGCCCTGGAGAGCTGCTGTTACTCCTAAAGGAGGTTCGTTAGGATTATAAAACCGAGAGAAATGGCAACACAAAATGAAAAGAGTAAAAGCCCCTTTAGATGATCTGACATCCTGAGCCACGCAAAGAGGGGGCTGTGAATCCATAACTCAGCCACCAGGATCCACAGGCACCAAGAACACTTGGGAAATACAAGGGTCCCTGCGAACTAGGCCTTGGCCATACTATCACCAGAGCAGGCGGTCTCGGGGCACTGCCATCCCCTTCCTCGGGCCCAGCTTTGACTCAAACAGCAGCCTAACCACTGTCCACATTCGTCAGATGTTTGCCGGGTGCCTTCCGTGACTGGATAGAGCCGTCTCAGAATGTAGCGGGCGGCTGTCAATTAGGAATGAGGGACGGGGTTTTTTTTAAAAAGGACTGAGAAACCCAAATCCAGCCCTATGCAGCAATTCACCAGGATCCTCAGGCCCGAATGCTACAGCCAGCTCTGGGATACGCAGAGGGAAGGCATATGCCACAGGAAAAATACCAGAAGGAAGGGAGACGTATTCTTCCAACTGCTAAGAGAGCCACCATGCTGTGTGGAACACAAGTGGGGGATGTGTCAACCAGCTCCAATCTACACTATGTCTTCAGGCTGTCCAGTACCTCTGACAGGCCCCCTTTGCCCCGTTGTCTGGCAGCCTCAAGAGGCCACACGGAGAGCAGCCAGTCCCAGCCAATTCTGCAGAGAAACAGAGAAGTCAGGACAGAGCGAGAATCGCTTGTTTTTCCATTGACTTCCATGAGATGAGGATTTGATCCTTATTGCAGCAGAAACCTCTCATCCTGGCCATAAAAAACCTGCCATATTCCTAAAATAGGGGCTGCCAATGTTTTTCCCCTCCCATAACACTCTTTTTTTTCTCCTGACTCAGACTCATTTCTGCTACGCCAGCCAAAACAAGTCACAGCACCCAGTAACTTGTTAAAGTTTACTGTGCCCTAAATCGGCATTCACATCCAGTGCACATTAATTTGATCATTGTACATTACCCTTGCAAAGTTTTCCTCATCGCTAGCCGGGCTAGAATCCATCCAGTGAAAGCTTCGGGCTTGTTTAGACTAGGAACATTTGTACCAGTGCTACATCAATATACACTACGTCTACACATACATGAGCTAGCACTCATCAAGCTAGTGCGAGCACAAAGAGCAGTGTAGCCATGATTGCATACGTCACAGCAAAGCTACCTGGATCACCCGTGCTACCGCAGCTTTGCTGCTATTTATACTCCCACTCGCGCAACTAGGTGTATGCGAGCAGAGGAATCAAACCCCTGGCTCATAGTGTAGACATAACCTTTGTGACTCTTGTGGAAAACCCTAATGAAGACACTATACTAGAGAGATTTACCCCCAATAACTTAACTTGCACTGAAATGCCCTACCTAGGCAGGGCCTTAGATTCCAGAGAAAAATAGGTTACCTCCTCCCTCTATGAAAACCCCTTTGTGATCTACCATGGAGTCAGAACCCCAAATGTGATAACAACCGTTCTACAGGACTAGCAGATCATTCACTAGGAATATGCTTGGCCTCCTGAAAACTGTTCTAAGTGCTGGTCAGCATAAAGGGCTCCTCACCTTGTGACTCCAGCAGATATTCCATATGCAGGTGGCTTTCTAACATAGCTAGGTCAAGCGCTTGAATTGATGGTAGCTCAAAGACACCATGACAATGCTGCACAAAGCTTCACAGCGTTAGTTCAGGCCTAAGACTCCCCGGCCCCACCTCCCTACGTTTTAAAATCTCCCACATGAGCAAAAGCGTTTTCATTACCTGTTTTAAATTCAGTAGAAAGAGTTTCTAGATTATCCCCCCTCCCGTGTTCAGAACCCAAACAGCAGCCGTGAACTAATACACAAGAACCAGAAAGTAAAAGCAACAAGTCCATGTCTAAACTGAGTGAGGTGCAAAAAGACAACAGCGCAGAGGGGAGGGAAACACGTTCACAGTTTAAAAAAAATTATTTCAGGTTGAAAAGGTAAAAACCAACCCTTAAATTTGGCACCAAATTAAAATATTGTAAAAAATAAGCTTATCGGAATGTTGCCACGATTTAATACAAAACGATGAAAAATGTTAAAGTAACAATCCCGCTGCAGTGTATCACAACACTAAGAACCTCAGTGAAAGGGACTATAAACAAAAGCAAAACTTACTTCATTGATTTTCCTTGTACAAGCTAACAGAAATCCAACAAGTAAATAAAACACAGCGACGGGTACAATGGAAGCATTAACATCTTTCGCTTGTAATAAACTAAGAAGTTATTAGTAAGATAGCTGAAGAAATTGATTTGTTTACATGGGCTTTTTAAGATGACATTGTCCCGTTCCTGATCTATGGTGTCATTAGCGACTAATAAGGAATTGTTTTTAATATTATTTATCTTTGGGCTAAAAAAGACTAGTCTTTTGTTGGTAAATGTCAGTAAACATCGATTTCACACACACACACACACGAAAAAATATTTCCATTGATAACAGAAACTTACAGATAGGCAAAATAAGAAAAATGCTGAACACTTATAAGAGTTTGATTTAAGGATATTTACTTTGTAGAATTTGACATGTGATGATGGCAATTTGTGTTTTAACACTTATAAACTTTAACTTTTTGAATCTCAACATCTATGGATATTAAATAATTATTGTCTGACCCTCCCCCCAAAAATTTCTCAAGACTGTGAAAATTTAAATTGATAAAAATTGAAAAACTGCTTAAAATAAGCATATTATCTGTCAAAATTATAAAAATATAACATTTGAATTCTGCCAAGCCTATTTACCCAGCCAGTCCCTTTAATATGCAGTGATAGAAGCCCACAGACTGAGCTTCCAAATTGGATCATTATCTTCATTTGGACCCTCCTCCTACAATGACCTCTCCAATGGCAGACCCCCCTCACAGAGTAACAGGGCTCCATGCAAATACAGAAGACCACCTACACAGAGCTCAGTGCAGGAACAGGGCCTTGAGCTACTGTCCTGTTTTATTTAACATTGTAAGACCCTGACCTTGCACTGGGATTCATTTATGGAGGTCTCACGTGCTCCGCAGAGTCTTATTGACTTCAATGAGACACAACATAGGCCCAAGAGTCCATGCTAGAGGATCCTGATTGGAAGCTGTGCTTATAAGAGCAAGTATAACAGGAGTACTTGTGGCACCTTAGAGACTAACAAATTTATTAGAGCATAAGCTTTCGTGGGCTACAACCCACTTCTTCGGATGCATATAAAGTGAAATATATTGAGGAGCAAGTATGTGAGCTTCAACTTCCATTTTGCATTCCCTGAGCTCATTACTTCTCATACTGATTTTTGGGGGGTTTCAGTTGTCCAGGCCCAGTTCTCATTCCAAAGGTGAAATTATTTTTGGCCGCTGGGGGAATTTGAACAAAATCAGTCCCACCATTTTTGAGTTATGTATGTGTTAAAAAACAAAGAAACAAATTGCACTGTCCTCCCCCCTAAGATCTTGATGAGAAATCTTCTGCATGGATCACTCAAAAAACTGCAGCGGGTAGAAAAGTCAAAGTTGGCTTGTTTGTAGAGATCTCACCAAGCTCCGGTGAGCAAAGAACAAAGACGTCCCAAACAGTTTTAAAGTTACGTGTTGACTCCTATACACCATCCTAAGCGCTTCCAGGCCCTGTTTTGGGCTAGGCCAGGGGTAATTCTCAACAGCGCGTCCGGGCAGCAACTGGAGGCTGAGCTTGTAAAAATTAACACCGAGCCTCTATCCAGAATGCAAATTAATTTTTTTAAACGACACTTGCTGTATGTTTCACAGACAGGGAAATGTCATTTGATGGAACTGAGAGATATACATGTTGTTTCACCTATCACATCTTAAGTGAGCAGTGTCGGTTCTTAGAAAAAAAATCTGCAATGACGCTGAGTCCAGTCAGCCTGTGGGATTCTTTCCCTCTGGTGTATTGGGGGGAATGGGGCGATGCACACACTGGGTGAGTTAGGGGAAGCCATACCAGCCTCTCCAGGCTGCAAACCAGAGTGAACGGGGGTATGGACTTAAACAATAACATGCCCACGCAGGGCTTTGCAATTTGAGGGGGCCCAGCTGCAGGGAGAACTAGGAGCTGCGGAGTCAGAGCAACCCCCGCCCTGGAGTGAATCTTTGGGGGGCTTGCCCTTGAGTTCACCCCACAAAGCCCAGAACCAGAGCCGGGGGGGGGGGTTAGCTGGGGTCTCCTGGCTCCCCTCTGTGATGCAGCGATACTGATCTCCTTCCCCCCACCCAGCCCTCATCGCCTCAGGAGGCCCCGGCTCTCCCGGCCCCTCGTCCTCCGGGAGGCCCCGGCTGCGCAGGCCTTGATCCCTCCCCGGGCCCCCTTCACCCTGCCCCCCCGCCAGCCCCCGATCCCTTCCGCCCCCGGCCCTGGCCTTTACCCCCTCCAGGGGGGCTCCCGATCTCCCTCCGCTCTGCCCCCAGGGGACCCCGGCCCGGCCGGACTGAGGCCCGGCTCCCCCCCGCTACCTGCATGGAGTCGGCGCCGACGATCTCGCCGCCCAGCCGCAGGCCCAGCTGCAGCGCCAGCTCGGACTTGCCGGTGCCCGTGGCTCCCAGGATCACCACCAGCGGCAGCGCCCGGCGGCCGGGCCCGGAGAGGGAGCGCGCGGCGGCCGCGGCCATGGCGGGGCTGGGGGGGGAGCGGCCGGCGGCTGCTATGGGAACGGGGGGGCGGGAGAAGGGGAGGGACGGAGGCGGGATGGAGGGGGCATGGCTGCGCCCCTGGGCCTAGAGGGTGGGGTAGAGCCGGAGCCCATTGCAGGCAGAGGCTCTCCCCGCCAAGCCAGGCCCTTTCCCCGCTGGGCACCCCTAGGGGCCCGCTCCAGGGCTGACATCTGGCCCGTTGGGGGCCCTTAGGGGGAGCAGACAGCAAGTGTGAAAATGGGGACAGGGGGTGGGGGGTAATGGGCCTCTATATAAGAAAAAGCCCCAAATATTGGGACTGTCCCTATAAAATCGGGACATCGGGTCACCCTAGGGGCCCTAAACAGGAATATATTCTCCCCCACATACACACACAATTAATAGGGGGCCCCTTGAGCTGCTGGGGTGCTTCCGCTGCTCTTCGGGGCAGGGCCTGTTTGTGTGTGTTTGTGCAGAGCCTAGCACAGTGGGCCCGACCGTACCCCGGATAACGATCACCCAGACATGTCCCATCCCTAGAAACCAGCGCCCGCGCTGCAGCATGACCCTCATTGCTGTAAAGCCCTGGCAGTGAGAGAGCTAAGCCCCTACGGAGCTGACTACAGGGATCTTCCTTTAGGCTATGTTATGGGGGGGGGGCTGGCACTATAGCAACAGAGAAGTGGAGGGGTAGAAGGGAAGATGAGAAGTGGACTGGGGGAAGAGGGAGAATGTTACCATAGCAACAAAGGAAAGAGGGAGAATGTTACCATGGTGACTGAGCGCATGCCCTACAGAGGGATAAAGAACTAAAGCTGCAACATAGGCAACAGGGAGAGATGGGGAGCAGGCAACTGTTACTGTAGCAACAGAGAGAAGAGGGAAGAAAAAGATGGGGAGACTGTTACCAGGGAGACAGTAGGAGGAGACTGTTACCAAGGTAACAGAGGGGGTTCTGTGACTTCTACTGCAGCAACAGATATGGAAGAGGGAGAGAAAATGGCTCTTATCCTAGCAACATACATCTTTTGGCATAGCAACAGGGAAAGCAAGAGGCAGCAAGGAGACGTATCATTGGAGGAGATGAGATTATCGCAGGCTTGCCAAACTGTCACAAACTTTACCAACCCAGGCGCAAACCCACCCCACCCCACCCTTCAGCATGATAAGAATGGAAAAAACATGATTCTTTACTCACCCAGAACAAATTACTCACCCTGTACAAGAAGAATTTTGCAGGAGTGTAGTAAAACAGTTACAGTCGCAGAGTAAAGCATGGTCCATGGAATGGTAGAATACATGCAATATGAAATGGGCTGACCCCCCTAAAAGGCTTGGTGTTAACAGGACAAAGTGAACTTAAAAATTTGGCTTTTGTCTGTTAGCTGTATTATTACAGCTAACACCTGAGAGTCTGATTGCTGAAGGAGATTATAAGGGGAAATAGGCTCTCCATTTGTTTATTACGTGCCTTTGGCAGCACTGTGTGTATAGTCAGTTTCAATATTTACCTTATACTCTCAATTTCCCTGAGTCCTTCATGTAGTAATACTAGAAAAAGCATTTTTAAAGATAGAAGCTGTACTTGAAAAGTGACAAAAATGGCAGGAAGATTCAGGGACAGGTGTAACATCTAAAGCTACTTTTAACTTGGTTTTGAAATTGACTAGATTTCAAATTGATCCCAGAACAACATGTAACTTCCAAACACAAAGAGCCCTGTTTGTTTCATTTAAATATCTTTCATACCTTCTGTCATTAAGCCTCTGCCCTCCCCCTACCCCCAAAAAAGCAGAAAGTCCTTTAAAAACCTCTCAGTAGGTAATTTTAACAAAGCAAAACACCATCCTTTTAAAAATACCCATCTTTAATGGGTACACAAAGTTTCATTCAAGAGACCCACACATCCATGCACACTTTATTTGGTTTGTCTGCTTTGGGTAGATGTCAGGTTTATTTAATCCTGATGTATTTTTAACCTGTGCTTCCAATGGGTCTATTTCAAATATGATGCTTACTCCACTAACCATCCTCTTCAACTGTGAGTTATGATTTGATATCTGAGTATTTTATGCAAACCCAATTTTTTTTTAAATATGCTCAGACTTCTCTCTAGCCAGACCTAGCTCAGCTATTCTCCCTCTAAACAGGCGTACAATGAATCTCTACAAGCTTTTGCACTTTGGTTTAAAAGTTATCTTGACCCCCACTTCTTTGGTCTTACAATGCTGTCTCATCTAATGATGGTCCAGTACTTTTGCAGCCTTCCGAGCAGCGGTGCTGGAACAATTTTTATAGTGGGGGTGCTGAAGGCAGATACCATGTATTTGGCTTGTTCTTACAGTACTACTTCAAGCCAGGACATGCGACAGTACCCCCCAGCACCCTTAGTTCTAGCACTTATGCTTCCAAGCCAGCTCAGTGCACAACTTTACAGAGATGCTGCCTCCAGTTTTTTGCCTGTGTATGATCCAACCGCTAAACTGAACTAAATGGAGTCTCTGGGTGAGATTTTCAAAGGCATTTAAAACCCAGATCCTCAACGGTATTTAGGCTCCTAACTGCCACTGAAATCAATCAGAGTTAGGTGCCTAAATGGCTTAGCAGCACAAGTCCCATTGACTTTCAATTAAACTTGTGCTAACTCACAAAGACTCATGTACAAATCCCACCTTCCATCTTTTTCTTGTCATGCTCTGGGACAAGCAGACTGTATGAATAAGAGAGGATCAACTCAACTCACTACTGCTGCATTGAAGAGTGCATCTATTGCTTCCCACCCTGCCCTCCTGTCGAAATAAATCTAGACACTTTGAACCTATATTCTTTACCATAGTGTTTTGTGTAGAGGTGAGAGAAAAGTATTAGGAGTCAGAACACCTGGGTTCAACTCCCAGGGTACGTCTACACTACCCACCGGATCAGCGGGTAGCGATCGATCTATCGGGGATCGATTTATCGCGTGTAGTGTAGATGCGATAAATCAATCCCCCGTCGACTGCTGAACCCCAGCTCGGCGAGAGGCGGAAGCAAAGTCGACGGGGGAGCCGCAGCCTTCGATCCCGCGCCGCGAGGACGCAAAGTAAGTAATTCTAAGTCGATCTAAGATACGTCAACTTCAGCTACGCTATTCTCGTAGCTGAAGTTGCGTATCTTAGATCGATCTCCCCCCTTCTCCCCCCCCATAGCGGTCGCCTAGGGCACTGTGATTTGGGGGGCGGCGACCGCAGCAGTATTTCAGCGGCAGGACCTTCCGCCGCTTCTGTGGGGGGGCAGCATTTCGGGGCAGCGGAAAAGATGGCAGCGCTCCTGACTAAACCTCTCTTGAAATGGCATTTTAGCCGCATTCTAGAGACTGCCTTAGCAGTAACGTGATGCCTGTGCTCCATTGCATTTAGTACAGGATTTTGCCTCCAGGAGTTAAAACCAATAACCTGGGATTGTTAATGGGTAATAAATATGCTTCAAATTAAGGCAAAAAAAATATTTCAAACTCTGCATATGGGGATGTAGGAAATTCTCTAGTAGCCCCTAAAGGGAAGTCTAGCCCCTCTCCCACCCCAGCAAGCAATTTCATTCCCCGTCTGAGCTTTCCTCTAGAGTTACTCACTGAATATGATGATGAATTGTCATCTTGATGACCTTCAGGGGCAGTGAATTCCACATGCTGACTGTTCTGTAGTGCCATTAGAAGAGTTTAAAATTACATCGAGTCCCTCATTAGAGGAACTCAGCTCTCAGCCCCTCTTCCTCAATAAAACCACTTAAAGATAAATTAATCTAGGTGATTTGTTTCCCAGGACCCACTGCTGTAGCCATTCCACATTTTAAATTTTGTGAGAATGCCTACACAAAGGGACTAGTCTTGCTTGCAGGAGACTATGTGCTGCTTAAAGGAAAATATCCCATTTTGGTTCTAAATATCTTGCACTCTAATTTCTGCAAACTCCCCCTGACCCCCCTTCTTTCCCCCAAGCCATCATCCAAGCCTTCCCCAGGAGCATTTGGGGATCTAACAGCTGTGATAATTCTGTAGACACACATCAATCCTATAACTGTGCTCAGTGATTTACTTGCCTGGGATACCTTAGGCACAGTAACAGTGCCTGTGCTGATGTTTTGATCCTGCCATTCAGGGATACGGCCAAATGGCCAGAAGCCAGCATACTCCTCTTCCTAGAAAGGCAAAGCTTTGAGTGGGATATGGTGGCCCTTCTCCAACAGCAGAGGGAAGGGCTGTAGGTGAAAGTCCTACTGACCCAGCAGCTGGATCCCAGCAGCCCTCCTTAGCTTTGTGCATTGTTTATGGCTCATCTCAACTGCTCATGCAATAACAAGGCCACTGTTCCCTTCTCCAGGACCCTGCAAAGACTCAAAGCTGGGCAAGTTAGTTAGGGCAGCTGCAGTGGCAGTTACCCCCCTGGAAACAGGCACCCAGGGAACAACTATATGGAAAAAGCCAACCCAGTCTGTCTTTGTAACTTATTTATTTATGAAGTGTGAGGTAATGAAGAAAGTGCTAAATCCGACCACAGTGTTAACTCTAAAGTTTCTCAGTAGGTCAGTTAGGAGCCAGACAGCTCACTGGCTGCTCCGTGCGTCTCTGCTGCAAAGTAGAGAGTCAGCCCCATCAGTGCCAAGGGAGACGAAGGCCGCTGGTCCTACTCCCCTCCCCACTTCCCTTGAATCAACTGGTTAGTATTCACAGAAGAGGGAGATTTGTGGGGAGGTGAGAGAAGACCCTTGGCCAGCTGAACAAATGCAACTTCAGGGAATGTAGCTGCAGGTCAGCAAACAGAGGCTAAAAGTCCTGATCAGATCCCTTCTAAGAGGTGGCTTCTACCCACCTAGTAAAGACAAAGTAGCTCCAAGCAACAATTAGATCAGCCCTTGTTGTCAGTCCTGGGCTACACTTGGGATCTTAAGCAGCATCGCTCTTAAGAGCCTGCTTTTGGGGAATATGTGAAAGTCAGCCACACAGGGTCATTTTCACCCTCATCCTCAGAGA